TGGGGACATTTTGGTGTCTTATATGATTCACGAGTGATGACAAGTCTGAAAAAATTGTCGTGGATTAGGTGACAGTTCAATTATGTAGTGACAGTTCAATTGTGTAATGACAGGCAACAGCCATCTCCAGCGCATGTCAAAGAAATCAAATAAGGTTCAATTAATGTGGTTGGTTTTGGACAGGCTAAACTACCCTTAACTCCCTTGTACTTTTGCATAATATCATATAACCCCTTTAAAGTTTTAAAATATCTATATAATCCCGTGTAATTTTATATAAAGTGAAAATTTAGCATAAATAGTTTCCCTAACGTCATTAATTGAAATGCTAGTATTTTCCTTATTCAAGTACTAAACTAAATAAGTCTCTCGCATAATATTATAGGGGTTGTATGGATCGATGCAAAGCCTTAATTCGGATTATGTAGATATTAATGTAAAATTATAATGGAGTTGAGTAGATATATTATAAATTCACCACACATAATTTTGGAGTACATCTTGGACCTCTTGATCAATTGCTATAATTGAAAATTCTTTTTTTCCATTTTTTTTTTACTTTACGTAAAACCATAGGAAGATTATGTGGATATTTGAACCTTTAAAGGGATCATATGGTGTTATGCAAAAGTACAATGGATTAAATAGGTAGATTTATGCAAAATTGTAGTGTTTTTTTTTGTCGAAACGATAGGATTGCAAAATTGTAGTGGGGTTAAGTATATTTTTTTAATTTTAGTACATGTACTTTTGGAGCATGTCTTGGTCAACTACAGTAACTGGAGATGTTTTTGTCCATTTTTCATCTCATATAAAATCACAGAAGAATTATGTCGATATTTTGAACATTTAAAGGGATCATATGGTATTATGCAAAAGTACAAGAAGGTTATGAATAATTTATTAGTAGTAACTATTTAGATGAAAAAAATTTTGTCGATCCCAAAAAACTACTAGGCATGTTTAATAATTGGTTCTAAATCAATAAAAGAATTTCACATGAACATACAAGGGTCTCACGTGATTTAATTTAGGATCTCACTTAGCATGTGAATTAGAAAGTGAGGTCTTTATATATCTACGTGGAGCTTTTTTTATTGGTTCTGGACTAAGTACTGGGCATGTCCGATAATTACTCTGGACCAATATAAAACTCCTGTTTAGATTTAGCGGCAAAGAGGCCTCAAGCTCGAATTGATACATTTTCTAATCACATTTTTTTTCTTCAGTACTAACAAAATTGCGGTAGTTTCTTTTGTATAGATGTGGTGGCAACTTTGTTGAGATGTTGCTTAGATGTATGTATTAATGAATGCTACGTGAGTGAAGAAAAAAAGAAGAAGATGTGATTAGAATTTTGGAGAAGTTTGGAAAAGTTCCACCATCTGAATGGAGTTTGATAGAGATAGCCTTGTTTGGATTGCCGGTTTCCGTCGAAAAATTACGTTGTTTTCCGTGATCACATTTCCCTATTACTTTTTTCCCTCACATACATTAAATCGTTACAGTAATTTTTCCATGAAAAATCACGGAAAATGCAATCCAAACACAAACCATTCAAACAAATAGTGCATTAACTTTTTTAACCCCCTTAGTAGAAACGCAACCAAATTTATTTCCGTATCGAATCAAGTAGGAGGACATATATTTCCACCTGGTGGCTCACATAATTTCCTCTCTTAATAACCAAGAAAGATGATGCAGAAGGGGTTTTGCCTGAAAAAATGTCCTCCGATCCAGTTCCAATTTCAAGAATGTGAGATTTATCCAAAAGAAACAAGGATTTAACGAGTGCCAAATTAATTAAGATGTAGTTCACATGTTAATTATTTAATTTTCTTGGATAAAAAAAAGTTATATCGTGTTGTGTATATAAATGTAAATAGAGCTGAAAACATGAATATATGCATTAAAATAGTATCTTGTGCGTAAATTAGTGTATCAACTTGTTAGAAAATTTCAAGAAGGAAACCGAAAAGAAAGCAAAATGGCCCAGAATGATCTAATGTGACCCATCTAGAAACTGAAAATGGAGATGATGAACAAAAACAACAATTTCTTCAATTCATCAATTGTAAGAATCCTTCTCTATTTTCTCCCTCCCTAATGTTGTATCTGCAGTAATAGAAAGTTCAGCTATCTTTCCATATAGCAAGGAGTTGGTTAGGGATGTGAGACAGAATAATATTTTGTATAATGAACATGAATAGAAACTGTGGTGGAACTGGGAAAGAAAATATATTTGTTGAACAACTATATCTATATCAAACAGTAGCTAATTCCAATTAACTGGCTAAACTAAGGAAGTATGTCCAATTTAAGTGAAATTTTCGGATTGAGTGTCCCTTAAATATTGGGTGCGTTGCTTATTTTGAGATGGGCTTTTTTATCATGTAAAGCTAATGTAGGTGTATATAAATTATAGCCATCTCTTAATTTTTTTGATTTTTTCATTAATTATAAATGTTGATTAACATCAAACGGCAATGGTAAGAACAAATATGACAGCTTAGTCTGATATTGTATTCAAATTGTTCACTGCATTGCTCATGGTATTACACCTATTGACTGATTTTATTAAATGTGCACGAGAAATTTATGATAAATGATTATGTTTTAAGGTTGGATATATTTGGAGATGGCTTAAATTAGAAAGGCATTGCCTCAACCTAGGGAAAACTATAAAAAAAAAAAAAAAGATATTCTGTTAGAATTGGAAAAGGTAGTTACTACCAATGTTCATTTATCTTTATCCAAACCCTCTACCAAGTGTAACAGATCTTCTGTCTCATTTCTTGTGCCACGCTCAGTCCCACTTTTTATTATATAATTATTTCTTTTTCAAAATATTATATTTTAGTTTTTTTTATTTTCATAAAATCCAATAACATTAACTGAATAATACACAAAATTTAACAAACTCAAAAAATCAAAATGCATCAAAAATGAGATTTTTCATGAATTTTCTACTGTATTTTAATTTACTATTATATATTGTTTTTTAATACTATTGTATTTATTTTTGACTTAGTTAATAGTTATTGTATCTTAAAGAAATAAAAAATTAAAATATGATATTTATAAAGAATAAATAGTAATATAATAAAAAATGAACAGAGAGCGGCACAGAAAGTGAAGTAGAAGATTTATTGCGCCTAGCAAGCCCAAAAGATGGAAACGAACACACGGGTCAGCTTACGACCTAAAGCGGCAGAAAGTAAGTATTTAGGCACTATTCTCTTCTAAGTTGGTTGTTGCAAGCAAACAAGGGAAGCATGTTCGTTTAGGTAAACTCTTCTCGAATAGGTTTTTTTTTTATAAGGAGGTATATGCAATCTTTTCGATGCTAAGCGTAATAAGGGATAATATGTATAACGACCTTAGAGAATCACTTTTCGATAATTTTGCACGAGTTATTAAAAAAATGGTTTGTATAACAGGTGCCCTATTATTAATATATATTTTAAGTGTTATATTTTTGAAAATATAAGATTATTAGGAAAAATAAATAAAGTGCAAGAGAGGGTAGGCAAAGTTAAATAAAAAAAGTACATAAATGTAAGAAAGAATAATACTTATTAATATGTATATATATATATATGGTAGCTTAATTGAACATTAGATGTGTTAGAAAAACTCAAAAATAAATGAGGAAAGCGTCACAAAAGAAAATTGGGAAGGGCTAGTCTAATACGAAAAGTTAGCATGGGAAGATACTCGAATAGTTGAATAGTTGGATGGAAGGGCGGAACTAAGGGGAGCAAGAGAGGACCACCACTTGAAATTCATGCTTTGTCTCTTTATAAAATTTGGAAATTTTAAAGTTATCTGAATCTTATCTACAGATATTTAGCTATTTGCTTCCTAAGTTCTACAAAGCCATACTTTCTCCTTTTAAAAGTTTGAGAATTTTCAAATTTTATATGTGTGTGTATATATATGTATGTATATGTATGTATATATATGTATGTATATGAATAATAAATACATACATGAATGATACATACATACATATATACATATATATATGTATATATATATATATCTCATATATATATATATATCATTCAAAATATCTCTCTCATATTTCGTCAAATGAATTTTTTCATCTTTACTTTTAAAATGTTAATTTTGCTTTCCTTAGATATTCAAATTAGCAAAATTTGATCCTAACTCAAATTTCCGACCTGCTTTTAGTCTAAAATTACTATGTAACTTACACGTAGTCATTTTTTTACATAAATGGCTCACTTTTTTAAAAGAATATGAATTGGGTCAAATCACAATTAAAAAAAAGAATATAGTTCAAGTCAGATACTACTTTTTTAGGGACAAAAATGAATATGGTTTAACTGCAATTAGGATCTAACCTTTTCACTTTTAAAAATTGAAAAATGTGTAGGTCATATGATGGATTCACGGTAAAAAATAACTACTAAATTTTACCGACTTAATTTTATAAGTGACATAAAGTTACAATTTTAAAAGTGAAGAATAAAAAAATTTATTTAGTAAAAAAATTGAAAATTGAAAAATGTCTAGGTCATATGATGGATTCACGGTAAAAAATAGTTGAAAATCTAAGTTGGAACTAAATTTTACCGACTTAATTTTATAAGAGACATAAACTTACAATTTTAAAAGTGAAGAATAAAAAAAATTATTTAGTAAACTGTATTAACTTATTTATCCCCTAAAACTTTTCAAAAAATTTTATATTGACTCCCAAGTTTATATGTGTATGCATTTTCGCCCCTCAAACTAAATTTTTAGTTCCACCACTGGTTGAATGTAGTTTTTGTTAACCTTTTTGGCTCATATCTTTTTGTTACCCTTATTATAAAACTGTCTATTTGTCCTATTTGCAATTCCATATCTTGGTAATACAGGAGTTCAGTACGTATATGGGTATGAGTGGGGAATTTGAACTCTTGAGATTATCAGATTGTCTTTATCTCTATTTGTCTTTTATTAGTGAATGTACATGTATGACAGAACAATCAACGAAGTACACTGGTAGAATCTTGGATTAAATCTAAATAACGGGGTACACTTGAAGGTATCCAATCACCTCCTTGCAGGAAACTTCTTAGTGTAAATTGAGATGCCTGTGCAACATTGGTAATAACCGTAGACCACGGTATTCTTAGCGCCCTGTTTGCCCCTGGTCCCCTGTTGTCATACTCAGCGTAAAATACGTCATTGGTTGGTTCCCCTGGCCATGGAACCCAACCTGTTGGAGTGATGACAGAATCTATGAAACTCTGCAGTACTACAACTCTTGAATAACGCCCCAGGGCCTGCCTAAGTAGCATTTGAATTTTAATTCTTCTTTCAGCAAATTTCTTGTCGCTTTTATCGTGCAATTCTGGAGGATTGTTCCAGTGTTCTCTTCGCCAGTCAGTCTTTGTTGTGCAGTGATGATGAGATACTGCCCATGTAATGGTTTTCGGGCAAGAATCACACAGTTTTGGAATACAACTGCAGCGTCACCTAGTATGAAGTCTATTGTTCCAATGACTATACAGTCTCTGAAAAATTGCTTTCCTTCTGCAGTGTATAAGGTGTCTTGGTATCCGCTAAACCGGCATTTGTAGAAGGTCAAGTTATCAGCTTTTGCCAATAATGCAACTGATTGATTCATATGTGGTCCAGCCGAGTTTTCAAAAGTTATACCTTGTGCCATGAATCCATTCCCGAATATCCCTACAATTTAAGGAACAAATCGCATTAGATGAAAAATGTACAGCCACTTAAACATGCAATTACGTATGGCATTAACATTTTACGTCTGGCCTAATTCCATATGTTTCTTGTAAAAATTTTGTTAGGACATCTCATTGATATTGTGTTGAGAAAATCTCAAAGTCTTTAGATGGACATTGGAAGAAGGTTGAATTGTCTACCTACAGTTGATGTGAAACTGTATCAAACCCACCGCCAGCGCTTTTGTTGCCTGAGATTATAGTTCTCCGCATGCCGTCCCCAATGAGGACGATGTTCGTCTTCTCTATTCCAACAACTATGCTCTCGAAATAGAATCCTCCCTTTAACTGAATGTAGTACTTTTCATTGCTGTAATTTGGTGCAGCAGCGATTGCCCCTCCAATAGTAGTGAAATTGCCTGAGCCGTTTTGTGCAACAACTACGTTGAAAGGTGTCTGTTGCCCATTTCCTTGCTTAGTAAAGCCAACAAAATGTATAAAGCAACCATTCCCATGTCCATCTTGTAGTGACTATGGAGTACCGCATGTTCGCAATGGGCTACTGGATTCTTAAAGGATTCATTCGATAAAGAGATTCATTCAATCAGGTTGGTAATTGTTGCAGACTCACATATTAACAGATTCATTCAATTGAAAATTAATATAAAGATATTAGTTTTCAAAGGGTAAAAATCATGGTAGTCAATACAGTTGAATATAAGTTAATAGCTGGCATATGATGATTGTTGTTTTCAAATTAGGTATGATTATGGTGGCCTTAAATTTATGTTTTCAGTAGTCATTCTAGCCTTAAAGTTTGAGACCTACAAAACTTCAATAAGGGCACCTTTAAAGTGAAAAAAAAAAGTGACACATTTTAGTTAACACCATGATGATTGCTTTCCCTCTATATATATCTAACTACTTGGGAGATAGCTAGGTAGCGTGCGGTGGACATAGACATGTATTTTGTATAAGATACAATGAAAATGTATTTGCAGATGCGGATGGAGTGGCTATTATTAGGCCTGAAGTTGTTATGCAACTTTCCTAAAATTGATTTTAGCTATTCAAACTTGAATAAGATTATAAGAAAGCTGAATGAATCACATCAAGATTTGAGTTTGATTTCATCAGAAAATTAAGCTCGCGTTCAAGGCTTTGTGACACATCCTGTTGATGGATATGGCGTTAAAAGCTCCAATACCATTTCAGTAGATTCACTCAGAAAAGTTCTGCCATACAGGCGGAACCAGAGAGAATTAAAGACGAAACATTGCTCAGTTTTGAAACTAGAAACAAGATGGGGAGGACTACTGAGTACTGCATCTTCTTGTAGAGCTTTGCTTTGGCCTTCACCCATTCTACCTAATGTCTTCTCTTAATAGTTATAAATGTGTTTGTCTGCATTACATGAATACACTGGATACAAAGACGCATACACACAAACACAAAATTGACAACCTGATTCTTAGGGTATCTTATCCTCCATTCTGTCCCCGCGCTAGTCTTAGTCCAAACCTTAAATAAGATCCCAAAGTGCTAAAGCTGAGTAGAAAGGCTTTGCCCGTATTCGACGCAAAAAAACATCAACCAAGGGAAAGGAAAATTTGGCTAATGCCAGAAAAATATGAAGCCAGGCCACTGATCCTTTTGTCCAACAATGTCTTGATATTGAATGTTACGGCTAGGTTGTCAGTGTATAGTTTACACAGGCCATGAGTGCTTTAGACTAATAACGATCAAGTGAAGCATTGGAGCAAGCGAGTAGAACATGCTCAATTGATGGGCAAGATTATGAAGATTCATTTAGCAGAAGACCACGACTTATTCTCCATTCACTGTAGAAAACCCTTACTTTAGACATTTGTGTGTAATAGATGAGGATATTTTGTAGACATTGGAGAAATAGTAGTTGAGATAATTGCTGTAATAAAAGCATAGAATTTGGTTAACCTAGTTTGCAGTGGAAAGAAATTTTTTTTTTTTTTTTGATTCTTTAAAATTTTCACTAGAAGATTGTTGGTATACCTAACAAACTTTTAATTCCTTTGCCTGTATAGAAAGAAACTAAGAACGAATTAAACTGTCATGGTCTATCTTCTGTCAAAAATTGGTGGTTGATAACCTCTATTTTGCTGTCGAACTTGGATGATATTATACTCATGGACTAAATGTTCTTCAGATAAATTCCAAACTCAAGCTCAAGTTTTTAGTGAATTTTGTTTCTAATTGAAACTAGATTTTAAGTCAAAGGCAGTAATCTTACCATCATTTTACAAATCCTTCACCAAATCCAGCGAGTCTTGTACCAATATGTTCCTTGAAATAAAGAGTCCAAAAATCAGTGAAAAATTTAGCACAGAACCCTCAAAATAAGCTTTTTCAATATCTTGTACTGATGAATCATGTCATAAGATTTTCTAGACACATGATTTCTCTTTAATATAGGTTCAATTTTTTTTTTTTGTAAGAGTGAAACAAATTCGAAAAAGTATCTAAATGCAGGACAGTAATAAAAATGAGTGTGTGCATACATATGTCAATTTAGTTATAATTTAGATATCTTAGCAAGTATCCCAAACACTCAACAGAAAAAATTCATAATTTAGTTGGTCTAATTTATGTTACATCAGAAACCCTTGCTTTGGCTCTTATTTTTTACAAAAAAAAAAAGAAGAAAAGAAAAAATCTTTTAGTTTTGTTAATTTTAGCCCATCTATCACCTTGCAATTGTTTCCTTCAATCTTAATGGCTGAATTGCAACAAAAGTGTAAAAGTACAGTATACGTTTTTTCATAAACTCAAGGGACAAGGTACCCTTAATAATTAGAGACTAAATGTTTACATACATAAGATTTGAAGGCCTTTTAGGCAATTTCACCCCCACATTTGAGCTGCTCGTTAATTTACACATTTATAAAGATATCCATTGTACATGAGTCAACAATTGACACCCCCTAATTATTGGTATTTCCATACATAGGATACCGTATCTCTCCGACTTTAATTGTTTCCTCAATATTTATTAAGTTACTCCATCCCCAATTCTCTAACTATTATAAATAGAGGCCACAACAAGATAGCAAGCACCTGCGTATTCTGATGCTGATCTTTGTTTTTGGCTTTATCTCTAATCTCAACTGTTGTACTAATGAGTGGGAAAAAGTATAAACGAAGCCGTCTAATTTTCCTTTTAAAAGATGAGAAAGTCAAAGCAATAGTTGTAAGTTGTGATTTTTTTTTTTTCTGTTAGAAAATTCTTGGGTAAAAATTGAATCCAAAATGCATGTTTATGGCAATTTAATTCAAAGAATTTGTAAACAGTTAGATACTTGGTGAATATAACTATCATCTTAGTTAATATATACAACGAAGTTCAGCAATATACTATAGAGAATATGATGGTGGAGACATTATTTAGAAATAGATAGAGTTGATGGTCTAACTAGTTAGGTTGATTTGAAATTGGATGCATTGATTGTGATCAAAATGTTTAAATGAGCGATGATATTTATTGTATTCTTTATTTATATGTTGTTATCTTACTATTTAGATTTGTTGACTTAGGCCTTGTTTGATAATCTAATTCAATACTTAAATTTATTGAATTCAAAACTTAACATGTTCAAACGTGTTTGATAATAAAAAATTGAACATCTGAATTGATTAAATAGTATTGAATTTCTTAGACAAAACTTGCTTCCAAAAATAAGTGATAAACTATTTACTTATCACTGAACGTGATATACACCCAAATGTATTAGATTTAATACTTTACAATTCAATAAATTAATTATTCAAATTTCAGATTTCAGATTTCAGTTTTCAGACTTTAGTTTTATCAAACACACCCTTTTATATCTATTCTATTAGTATATATATCCTTATACTATATAAGAATGAGTTTAGAATAAAGATGTTCTTTGGATTTCAACCGTAAGGGTAGGGCTATTTTGGGAATGTAAAAGTATTTGAAGTGCAATTGGAGTATTGAATACAAGTCATTATAGCTAATTTAGTTTTGTTGTAATTACTTAGATGTCCTTTTAGACATTTAAAGCTAGGGGTGACAGATATCCGATTGAATACTAGGTATAACTAAATTCAGCTTGTGTTTTAGTGAAATTACAGAAAAGCCCTTCTAATCATTTAATTGTATTAACATCCAAGTCTCTTAATTTCCTAAAGCATTTCTCATCAGTTATTTGTAAACTTATGCTATATAGATATTAAGACATAATTAATGCCAATTAGTAGAGAAGTTTGCTTTCTTGACCGTTACCCTCATCTGTTCAAATTCATTTCATTTACTTACAACTTTTTTCCACTACAATCATGTAGCCTATTAAATTCGGATGTTGCTACATTAGCTACTCCTCTTCCCCATTTTGCAACACCTTTCTCAATAGGTATATTTTCTTTAGCCAATCTACTTTTTGGTTTTAAGAAATCTCAATAGGTATGTTTTCTTTAACCAATCTACTTTTTGGTTGTAAAAAATCTGTAATCTTGATGGTTGTATGTGCGATAATTTTTTAGTGTTTTAATTCAATTGTCCATGTTAGATAGACATGATAGGGAGGAGATCACATTTGTTAATTATTATTTTGGTTTAAAGTAAGTTTATCATCATAAATTTTTCCATATGCAGATTGCATCTACTTTTATTGTTTTAACTATTAGTTATGATAATTTTCAATTGTTTGTTATTTTATTGATGATTCCATTTAGGCAAATTTTTCACTTCATTTGATTTGCCAATAGGTTTAGCTATCTACTTAGAACTATTTGGCTGCAAATCTAAAGTATGTACTTCATTACTTTTAATTGTTTTCTTGAATTGAGTGGTCTAAGATGTTTTAGTACTTTATTTGATATGGTTATTCCTCTAAATTAGCATGTTAGTTGTTGTATATCTTTGCAGCTAGATCAAAAACTGATGTGTAGTGATTGTAATCCCTATCGAGAAGGAGATGCTTTACTATATGTTCTAAATTATACAATAAATCATAATTGATTGATTGGTGAATGTGGAGGTCTCATGATGATATGTTCTTGAATCAATATAAATTCAAGAATTTGGCTTGCAAGAACCGAAATTCCACTAGCAATAATTTTCTTCAAATATGCTAATTGTTCAAATCTCACTTATATGACAAGATAATGTGATGGACTGCCCTTATATTAAGATCAAATTCAAACTAAATAACAGATTTTAATATCCATAAAGTGCATGAGCAGATATAAGTAGGTCTTTTATTTTATTAGGTTAGGTGCAAAGTAGTTGATCATACCTTATAATTCTGTTTCATTACATATTAGTATATTGTTTAACTCAATATGTAACTTATGATTTTTCTGTTTAATATTATATATTAAAATTGTCATACTTCAATTCTTATACTACAAAATACCAAATAATAATTATTAATCATCTTTAATTATAGGCACTAAACCCGCGCGTTGTGCGGGCTTTTCCCCCTAGTAATAATTAATGCAATTGAAACTAACAACGGTAGAAGCTTAGATCCATCAAGAGATGGCTAAGTATTTTTCCATTGCCACCTCGAGTTTGAAGCAAGGGACCACATTTTCAAGGCTCGTTTCTTTTCTATGTAAGAGAGATGCTACTCGTGTTAAACCTCCATATCAAAATCAATCGGCACCTAAAAATACTACATTTAGAGGGGCTGGAAAGGGGGTAGAGTGAGAAAGGGGGAGGGAGAAAGGGTGGCAGGAGAAGGGGGAAGGAGGAGGGGGAGAAGAGACAAGGAGAGGAGGAGAGAGGGAAGGGAGAGAGGGAGGAGAAGGGAGGGAGAAAGAGAGGGTGACAAAATAGAGGGGCAGCCTACAGTGGGAAGAGAGGAGAAAGAACACCAATGGTGTAGGAGGAAGAATAAGGGAGGAAAGTAAGGGACAAAACAAAAAAAAAAAAAGGAAAGAAAAAGAAAATAAGAAATTTTTTCTCCAAACCCTCCATTGCATAAAGTTTTCAATTCTACAAGTAAGATACGATAAAGTTTTGTACAAACTTCCTAAAAATATGTTATCCAAATGGACCCCAAGTTTTGCTGCTAATCTAAGATGTAGAAATGCTACCGTTAAGACTGATAATGATGACCATAATTTGAAGGCGAATTTAGCAAAATATAATTCAACGTTTTGCCATATTGTTGTGTACTTTACTGAAAGTATGCAAACAACAAATCAGTACCATAAAAAAATTGTATAAATTAAATTCAAATCTAACTTAACAATCTCATGCAACAATCCTCCTTCGGCACACCTAAAGTGTAAGCTGATATTAAATAAAGGGACTAAATTGAAAAACACGAATTGTAAGCTTGAAAATCAATTTTT